GTGATGAAGATACAGAATGACAGACAGACAAAGAAGCAGAGGCAGACACTGACAGACAGGAAGAGAGAGGCAGACACAGAAGGACAGACACAGACAGACAGAGAGGGACAGACACAGACAGGCGAACACAGACAGGCAGAGGCAGACACAGGGAGACAGACAGGGACAGACACAGGCAGGCAGACACAGACAGACAGACAAAGACAGACACAGATAGACAGATGGACACACAGAGGCAGACACAGACAGACAGACAGAGGCAGACACAGACAGAGACAGAGGCAGACACAGACAAACAGACAGACAGAGAGAGGCAGACACAGACAGACAGAGGCAGACACAGACAGACAGACAAACAGAGAGAGGCAGACACAGACAGACAGACAGGGGCAGATACAGACACACAGAGAGGGACAGACAGGCAGACACAGGCAGACAGACAGACAGAGGTAGACACAGACAGACAGAGAAAGGCAGACACCGACACAGGCAGACAGGCAGCCACAGACAGACAGAGGCAGGCATAGACAGGGACAGAGGCAGGCACAGACGACACACAAACGGACAGACAGACAGACAGAGGCAGCCACAGACATACAAACAGATGCAGACACAGAGGCACACACACACACGCAAGCACATACACACAGTATACTTCTACATACAGCCGCAAACACACAGACACACACACACACACGCAAGCACATACACACAGTATACTTATACATACAGCCGCAAACACACAGACACACACACACGCGCAAGCACATACACACAGTATACTTATACATACAGCCGCAAACACACAGACACACACACACACACACGCACGCAAGCACATACACACAGTATACTTATACATACAGCCGCAAACACACAGTCACACACACACACAGACACACACGCAAGCACATACACACAGTATACTTATACATACAGCCGCAAACACACAGACACACACACACACGCAAGCACATACACACAGTATACTTATACATACAGCCGCAAACACACAGACACACACACGCAAGCACATACACACAGTATACTTATACATACAGCCGCAAACACACACACACACAGACACACACGCAAGCACGTACACACAGTATACTTATACATACAGCCGCAAACACACTGACACACACACACACACACGCAAGCACATACACACAGTATACTTATACATACAGCCGCAAACACACAGACATACACACACACACGCAAGCACACACACACAGTATACTTATACATACAGCCGCAAACACACACACACACACGCAAGCACATACACACAGTATACTTATACATACTGCCGCAAACACACACACACACACACACACACACACACACACACACACACGCAAGCACATACACACAGTATACTTATAGATACAGCCGCAAACACACAGACACACACACACACACACGCAAGCACATACACACAGTATACTTATACATACAGCCGCAAACACACAGACACACACACACACACACGCAAGCACATACACACAGTATACTTATACATACAGCCGCAAACACACACACACACACGGAAGCACATACACACAGTATACTTATACATACAGCCGCAAACACACAGACACACACACACACACGCAAGCACATACACACAGTATACTTATACATACAGCCGCAAACACACACACACACAGACACACACACACACACGCAAGCACATACACACAGTATACTTATACATACAGCCGCAAACACACAGACACACACACACACACACACACACGCAAGCACATACACACAGTATACTTATACATACAGCCGCAAACACACAGACACACACACACACACACGCAAGCACATACACACAGTATACTTATACATACAGCCGCAAACACACACACACACACACACACACGCAAGCACATACACACAGTATACTTATACATACAGCCGCAAACACACAGACACACACACACACGCAAGCACATACACACAGTATACTTATACATACAGCCGCAAACACACACACACACACGCAAGCACATACACACAGTATACTTATACATACAGCCGGAAACACACAGACACACACACACACACGCAAGCACATACACACAGTATACTTATACATACAGCCGCAAACACACAGACACACACACACACACACACACACACACGCAAGCACATACACACAGTATACTTATACATACAGCCGCAACCACACAGACACACACACACACACGCAAGCACATACACACAGTATACTTATACATACAGCCGCAAACACACAGACACACACACGCAAGCACATACACACATTATACTTATACATACAGCCGCAAACACACAGACACACACACACACACGCAAGCACATACACACAGTATACTTATACATACAGCCGCAAACACACACACACACACACACACACACGCGCAAGCACATACACACAGTATACTTATACATACAGCCGCAAACACACAGACACACACACACACACACGCAAGCACATACACACAGTATACTTATACATACAGCCGCAAACACACACACACACACACGCAAGCACATACACACAGTATACTTATACATACAGCCGCAAACACACAGACACACACACACACACGCAAGCACATACACACAGTATACTTATACATACAGCCGCAAACACACACACACACACACACACACACACACACACACACACACACGCAAGCACATACACACAGTATGCTTATACATACAGCCGCAAACACACAGACACACACACACACACACACGTAAGCACACACACACAGTATACTTATACATACAGCCGCAAACACACACACACACACACACACGCAAGCACATACACACAGTATACTTATACATACAGCCGCAAACATACAGACACACACACACACACACACACACACACGCAAGCACATACACACAGTATACTTATACATACAGCCGCAAACACACAGTCACACACACACACACACACACGCAAGCACATACACACAGTATACTTATACATACAGCCGTAAACACACAGACACACACACACACACACGCAAGCACATACACACAGTATACTTATACATACAGCCGCAAACACACACACACACACACACACACGCAAGCACGTACACACAGTATACTTATACATACAGCCGCAAACACACAGACACACACACACACACACGCAAGCACATACACACAGTATACTTATACATACAGCCGCAAACACACAGACACACAGACACACACGGAAGCACGTACACACAGTATACTTATACATACAGCCGCAAACACACACACACACAGACACACACGCAAGCACGTACACACAGTATACTTATACATACAGCCGCAAACACACAGACACACACACACACACGCAAGCACATACACACAGTATACTTATACATACAGCCGCAAACACACAGACACACACACACACGCAAGCACATACACACAGTATACTTATACATACAGCCGCAAACACACACACACACACACACACACGCAAGCACATACACACAGTATACTTATACATACAGCCGCAAACACACAGACACACACACACACACGCAAGCACATACACACAGTATACTTATACATACAGCCGCAAACACACTGACACACACACACACACACGCAAGCACATACACACAGTATACTTATACATACAGCCGCAAACACACAGACACACACACGCAAGCACATACACACAGTATACTTATACATACAGCCGCAAACACACAGACACACACACACACACGCAAGCACATACACACAGTATACTTATACATACAGCCGCAAACACACACACACACAGACACACACGCAAGCACGTACACACAGTATACTTATACATACAGCCGCAAACACACAGACACGCACACGCACACACGCACGCACACACACACACACACACACACACACACACACACACACACACACACACACACACACACACACACACACACACACACACACACACACACACACACACACAAAATACACACATGATAGTCATGTTCACCAACACACAGACACACAAATTATAGCACAAATGCATGCATACCCACACACGCGCGCGCGCACACACACTCACACACACACACACACACACGTTCACCAAGACACACACAGACATGCATATTATATATATCTATAAATATGTTTATATACATCTCATCTTCACATCATACACATCCATCTCTCTCTCTCTCTCTCTCTCTCTCTCTCTCTCTCTCTCTCTCTCTCTCTCTCTCTCTCTCTCTCTCTCACACACACACACACACACACACACACACACACACACACACGGTGTCCGTTTCTCTGTTCTCCAAGTGGAACCACGTATTGCCACGTTACTCTGTACGGCGCGCTACAGTTGTCTGTCCGGGGATCAATGAAGACCAACGTTAACGCTCTGACTGGATCCCGTCTTCTGTGTTCTGCAGACAATGGCAGGCCTACATGGACTACATTGATCTACATGATCCTCTAACACATGGAAATCATTCATTAAATGCATTCACTTCTCCATCTCCTTTATTAAAAGATAATATTTGACAACAATAAATGTACGCTCACCTGTTTAACAGGTGTAGTCACCATTCATGGAACGCGGATTATTGTAGTGTCTCTTATTTACGGGGCATAAGAAAATATATAGGCATATTTTCTCATGGAACGCTACGCGGGGATGAAAGGGTTAGCACTTTGACTCAGAGGTCAATCCAGGTCTCGGGAGGTCTGCAAACTCGGACCATGTGTCAGCACTTGGAGAGGACTAGTGCTGTATAGATGTAAAATAGTTATAGTTTTCTGTTAATGTAAAATAAATGTCGTTGCCTACAGAGTCTAAGTTTGCTACAGAAATGAGAAAATATTTTCTCAGACTTTTTCCCCCCGTTTCATTGATACCATCGGGCGGTTTCTCGCCAAAGTGGTTCCGGAAAACCGCAAACGAATCCGGCGGGAGAATTGCCCCACCTCCAATTGGTTTGGAACGGGAGAAAGTGAACGGACTCGCAGCGCTGTAACTGAACAATAGCAGACCGAGGGGTAGGCCCTTTCAGAGGGGTAAATGAGCGAGTGGAGCGAGGTTGAACGCTGCGCTTCAGCTGAGTGGGCTGCACCCGGTAACTTGTTAAAGTGAACACGGAGGGATAGAAGCAGGGGTGCGAAACGCGGTAATACCCCGTGAACCAGTCGTCGGGGTGGACAAACTGAAACGAACTGGGCTTGCTTATTATGGAGACATTACACCTATCAGGTGACACTGTTTCATACAAAGAGCAAAAAGTTTGCCCATCGACATAAATTTGACGCAATGTGTTTTCTTCCACCATTAAGGGGCTCTTAAGGACAAGGCGCACATCAAAGTGGGCTTAATGTTGTGAATGAATGTTATTGTAATCTTTGTGGGTGACTATAGGATTTGTTGTCGTGACTCTATTGTCAAGTCCGACTACCTGTGGTAGCGGGTTTACTTCACGTGAACTTGGAACACCACATGACGTCACCACCTTCCGACTAGCAGACGACACTTTGCACGAGGGGTAGCAGACGTGAAGTCGGGATTGACAGACTTGCAAGATGGAGCGGGGTGGATTACGGGTGGCTTTGTTACTATTTCTCCTTGGAAATATTTCTGGGCGGAGACGTGATTATTCTTTATTTTCTAAGAATTTTTTAAGTGTAAACTTAAATGAAAATCAACATCGGGAATTACGAATATCTTACAAGCGGATTCTGATTTTGGAAACAACTGCATTTATGGACACACCGGATGTTTTAATTGTGCGTCGCATCACTGACGGTCGGAGACTTGTGCAGCTGGTGTTTCAACATGGGGGTTTACGGGACTGTGAATATACGGAAAATAGAAAAATGGTTTTACGTCTTCTCAGCGATTTTACTCAAGCCAAGAAAATATTATCCCGAAGCAGTTTGACCAATGTGATGCAAGTGTACCCCAACACGAGCGCGCTACAGTCCGGTGGTGCAGTGCACCGAGTCCACACACCGGACCAACTGGGACGGTTCAGAGGCTACACGGACATACACTCTCAAGCCAAAACCTGTCACCAACTTGTCTCCAATATGAAACGACAAGCGATGAGGGAGGCTGTCCACAACAGAAGGAAAGACAAATTTGCTAATTCTTCCAAATTTGGTGCCAGGAAGAATGTGACATCCCACCTGCACGTGCGTTCTAAGCGTGATCTGTTTTCCGGCTGGTTAATATTTCCAGGGACGAAGTGGTGCGGCGACGGCGATGTCGCAGACTCTTACGACGACCTCGGCTACGACCGTAAAACCGACGCTTGTTGTCGGAAACACGACAGCTGCCCCCACATCATCGAGCGCTTTTCCTACAAGTACAACTACTTCAACTACAAGTTCCACACGCTCAGCCACTGCAACTGCGACAACAGGTGAGTTTCTTGTTTATCTCGTGTTAGTGGGCGGTGGGGTAGCCAAGTGGTTAAAAAATTCGCTCGTCACGACGAAGACCCGGGTTGGATTTCCCATATGAGTACAATATGTGAAGCCCATTTCTGGTGTCCCTCGCCGTGATATTTCTGGAATATTGCGAAAAGCGGCGTGAAACAATATTCACCCACTCATGTGTTAATTGAGCAGATACGTTGACCAGCTCTGTGGTCGCTGTCATTCAGTATACGGTAGGTTCATAGTTTAGGCCTGTGTTTGTTTCCATCATGCCGGCTTAGATACGATTCATATTATAATAACGATCAAGACATCTTGTGTCCGAGTGAGGCCATTCATCAAACTGTGTCACACCAGACTGTGTACAAGGGTAAGCCAGACTGTGTACAAGGGTAAGCTCTCGTGGGTAAGCCGCTTGTTTATTACAATTGTCAGGGTTAAAACAGAAGTTGTTATCCACAAGAACATGTCAATGTGTATCACACTGACATCTGCACGCCACCCAAAAGTATTAGAATATCTGCATTAAAAAATACTGGAAAATAATTATTCTCCCTGAGATTTTACCTCCTCAATTAATTAATCATTGACGAAATCTCCCGAAATATTTCTGTTTGACTCCTTTCGTGACTGTGAAGAAGAATACTTCGTGTCTGAGAGAGGTGAGAAATAAAACTCGGCCTCTTACGAAACTCCCAGCGCCAGAACACAAAAACGGCCGGTTAATTCATATTTCTTTTATTTAAAAACTCAACGAAAGTGTAACAACGAGAATCATTCATGACGCCCAGGAAACTTACATCTATATATATAGCTAGGTCCGAACCATCACATTAGGCCGTGGCTTACACCGCTGGTCCGTCATGAACTGATTTAGATGCCCTCCCCCGTCATATAACGCTACACAGTCACTTAATACTCGTCGACAAATTCAGATACAGATAGAGATCGGTACCTGCAATAGTCACATTTATTTCCTTGATTAATTTATTTACCACGTCATAAACTATCCCTGAGAAGCGAAGATGATCACAAAACCCGCTGAGTTTTGTCCATGTTCTGAGTGCACACCGCCTACACGTATCCGTGGCTTATCGGAGTTTAATTGTGTAATAGCTTGTGCGTTATCGTACAATCCTAAAAAACTTATTTCACTGTATGATTCACTGATACTGATGTATCCTGTCACAAACCAAGACATCCTACTTGCCGCACGACTAAGGTTGTATGAAACACTCATATTCCCATTAACTGTTGACATAGCCGAGTGGAGACAGTACGGGCTGAATGAACGGGTCGCCGAGCAGCACTATAAATTAAATCTATGACATAAAACACGGATATGCGTTAAAAGCTATAGCAAGGCGGAGGATTACGCCTTGAGGCCAGGGTGCCGTTGTTCAAAACGACCTTTACTAAGAATGAAATCCCCTTCTTCCCCATATATCAGTGTTAATAAAACTTGCGATTCCACTGTCATAGCGTACGGACGCTGTGTGTGTCTTTCGACCATACGACGAACTTTGTCTACGAGACAGAAAATGGCTTCGAGCGTGAGTCGATAACGCGATATTAGTTCCCTGTCTGCCAGTGTCTCAAGCTGCATGGTGCGATCTCGGAAAATACGCTGTTTCCTCAAACTTCTCTCAGCTTCCTCACACATCAGCAAGAAAGTAGCCATGTTGAAATTCAATGAAGTGTCAACTTTAGCCACGCTAAGGTTTTGTCGGACCAACCTGAAATGTTCACCTTAACTGAGGCTACCTTAGCGTAAGGTAGTTTCATGCAACAGGGGGTCAACCTCAGGTTAAAACCAAACGATATAAGGTAACCTTAGCGCTAAGGGTGTTTTGTACAACGGCACCCAGGATAACTCCTCTCACACGTCCGACTGAAATCCTTGTATTTGTTGCACCTGACTTCGTTCGCCAGGAGCTGTCCATTATTCTGACAGTTCTTGACAGTGTCGTGGTGTTGTGTCAAGCAGCTGTTGACAGTGTCGTGGTGTTGTGTCAGGCAGCTCTTGACAGTGTCGTGGTGTTGTGTCAGGCAAGCGCTGTAACGCTGGTAGATAAAGGGTTAATGAATTATTGAGGAGCCAGTCACATCCCGCTGATCAAGAACTTTAATAGTCGGAATGTTTAATGAGGACTCGAATTTACAAAAGGGCATTCAGGTGTCGCTGCTCTGACCCTGATCCGTGGGAGTGATTGTCAGCTTTCCCGAGCTAACTGAATGTATTGTAAATGAATCAGTATATGTTTTTATATATGTACAGAAGGATAACAGTACTTGGAATTAATTTGATTGACGCGTGAAAATACATCTTATATCAAACTCACGTCAATGACACTGCCACACAAACCCATCACTATCTAATCTGCGAACCTCGTTATTACAACACACACACACACACACACACACACACACACACACACACACACACACACACACACACACACACACACACACACACACACACACACACACACACACACACACACACACACACACACACACACACACACACACACACACGAAAACACACGAAAACACACACACACACACACACACACACACACACACACACACACGAAAACACACACACACACACACACACACACACATATATCGTCTACAATGAAATGAACATGCGTTCTGAAAGGCACAATCATGAACGTAAAGTGGCGGCGGGGGGGTATATATTTCACCTATGAGTATAGAAGTGTTGACACTGAGCTGCAGAAGATCATGTACGCTGGCGATGCATCTGGTTTAATGTCATAACCCCATAATGTCATAACAACAGGCCTTCACGGATTAGAGGGAAAATATACATCGCTAGTGGCCCATACACACTACAGCGCTGCTGCAGACTAATGTAGACTAATGTAGACTAATGTAGACTGCAGCGCTAATATAGACTTACGTAGACTAATATAGACTAATTAATGTAGACTAATGTAGACTACAGCGCTAATGCAGACTAATGTAGACTACAGCGCTAATATAGACTAATGTAGACTACAGCGCTAAAGCAGACTAATGTAGACTGCAGCGCTAATATAGACTTACGTAGACTAATACAGACTAATGTAGACTAATGTAGACTACAGCGCTAATGCAGACTAATGTAGACTACAGCGCTAATATAGACTAATGCAGACTAATGTAGACTACAGCGCTAAGATGCCAAACAATATACTTCTTATTGCTTGTTGATAAAGTGCCGACCTATTGTTTGATTGAATGCCAGGAAGCAGTGTTGTTGTTGCTGGCCTCGTCAAACATGTCTCCAACAATGAACGACCTAACACCGCTGCACGAATAAACAAGATGGTGGGTAAAATAAACAAGGTTTATAGAATACAAATGAAACAGCAGGCAGTGACAGACAGCATTGCTTAACCCTTCACTTGAAGGAGGTGTATCTACTAACTTAACAGAGGTCTTAGATCGTGGAGTCCCCTCTCTCAGGCCTTAGATCCCACTCATTAACTGAACAGAGGTCTTAGATCGTGGAGTCCCGCTCACTGATTGAACAGAGGTCTTAGATCCCGCTCACTAACTGAACAGAGGGCTTAGATCGTGGAGTCCCCTCACCAACCGAACAGAGGTCTTAGATCGTGGAGTCCCCTCTCTCAGGCCTTAGATCCCACTTATAAACTGAACAGAGGTCTTAGATCGTGGAGTCCCCTCACTAACTGAACAGAGGTCTTTGATCGTGGAGTCCCGCTGACTGATTGAACAGGGGTCTTAGATCCCGCTCACTAACTGAACAGAGGTCTTAGATCGTGGAATCCCGCTGACTGATTCAACAGAGGTTTTAGATCGCGGAATCCCGCTGACTGATTCAACAGAGGTTTTAGATCGATGAGTCCCGCTGACTGATTAAACAGAGGTCTTAGATCCCGCTCACTAACTGAACAGAGGGCTTAGATCGTGGAGTCCCCTCACTAACTGAACAGAGGTCTTTGATCGTGGAGTCCCGCTGACTGTTTGAACAGAGGTCTTAGATCGTGGAGTCCCCTCACTAACTGAACAGAGGTCTAAGATCGTGGAATCCCGCTGACTGATTCAACAGAGGTTTTAGATCGTGGAGTCCCGCTGACTGATTCAACAGAGGTCTAAGATCGTGGAGTCCCGCTGACTGATTGAACAGAGGCCTTAGATCGTGGAGTCCCCTCACTAACTGAACAGAGGTCTAAGATCGTGGAATCCTGCTGACTGATTAAACAGAGGTCTAAGATCGTGGAGTCCCCCTGACTGATTCAACAGAGGCCTTAGATCCCGCTCACTAACTGAACAGAGGTCTTAGATCGTGGAGTCCCGCTGACTGATTGAACAGAGGTTTTAGATCGTGAAGTCCCGCTGACTGATTGAACAGAGGTCTTAGATCTCGCCCACTAACTGAACAGAGGTCTTAGATCGTGGAGTCCCGCTGACTGATTGAACAGAGGTCTTAGATCCCGCTCACTAACTGAACAGAGGTCTTTGATCATGGAGTCCCGCTGACTGATTGAACAGAGGTCTTAGATCTCGCCCACTAACTGAACAGAGGTCTTAGATCGTGGAGTCCCGCTGACTGATTGAACAGAGGTCTTAGATCCCGCTCACTAACTGAACAGAGGTCTTTGATCGTGGAGTCCCGCTGACTGATTGAACAGAGGTCTTAGATCTCGCCCACTAACTGAACAGAGGTCTTAGATCGTGTAGTCCCGGTGGTAATTGCTTACAATTGGAACGCACCGAGGGCGGCTCTGCCGAGGAGACCCGAGTGCATTTGTGTTGTTAAACACTATCAACAAATCTCACGTGTGTTCAGTTTTGTTTACACATATATAATAACATACATTATTGCACTAAACATACTACAACCCAACAATGCTGACCTCTCCCTTAACCAGCTGCATTGCTCGAAGATGAAACGGGGTGTTTCGTTAATCCTGCCATGTCAAATAACGCGTGTCGACTACACCCGCTG